TTCTCAGCACTTAGTCGAAGAGACCGAAGCCCATGTCGTCGTCCTCCTCCTCCTCCTCCTTCTCTTCCTTCTTGCCAGCAGCAGGAGCAGCAGCGGCGGCGGGAGCAGCGGCGGCACCACCGGCAGCGGGAGCAGCAGCGGCAACGGTGCTCATCTTCGCCGCGCCCTCCGCCACGAGCTGAGCGACGCTGCGCCCCGCAACAGACTCCATCACGAAGGCGAGGGAGTCCGCCTCGACGGCAACGCCGGTCGCCTTGCAGATGGCCTCCACATCAGAGACCGTGGGCGTGGGGTTCTTCAACGACGCCAGGGCGTACGCGGCAAGGTACTTCATCGACATGACTGTNGCCTCGACGGCAACGCCGGTCGCCTTGCAGATGGCCTCCACATCAGAGACCGTGGGCGTGGGGTTCTTCAGCGACGCCAGGGCGTACGCGGCAAGGTACTTCATCGACATGACTGTCCTTCCCTTCCTTCTCTCTTGATTTACGTGGGCTGTGGGCCTGCAGGGGGGCGAGGGGTGGAAATGCCCCAAAGAGAGAGATAGAGTGTGGGAATTGTGAGCATGCATCAAAAAGCATGAGCGACGAGGGAGCACTGTGACACAGGCGTGGTGCAGACAGCACCTGTTGCGCACCGATCATCAAGCAATCTGAAGGACACAGCAAAGCTCTTTCATCATTTCTTCTCCAGTCCTCACGACAAGGCCTCTGGAGGTGGAACAAGGAAATATTCAATGAGGCTCATCGCATCTTCGGCCTGCTGCTGCAGTTGCTGTCGAAGCGTCTGGGACGCCACCCCGCCTTGGGTGCCGGTTGCAATCCCCTGATAGGACCCGACCTTTCTCTCCGATGAGGTGTGCAACAGAACGCCCGGTCGCACGAGCATCACGGTACTAAACAACTTTGCCAGAAATCTTGGCGTAAGCTCATTGCTGCGCGCATTCACTGGTCGAAGTAAGAAATTCAACAAGGCACAAACGTATATCCACACATTGGCGTGTAGGGGTGGAAGCTGTTGCTGCACAAACATGAGTGGCGCTTTGCCCTTTGCTCGCCCAGCAGCCAGTGCTGCTCCGTACAGTGCAAAGGGCACCACTGGCTCCTGCAGCGACTGAAGAAAAGTTATGAAACAGGTCGCAATGCACTGCACATCGTAATCGTCCGGGAGCGGCTCACAACACGTGTCGAGGCGGTGCATGATGGCCGCGCATGTCTCCGTAGAGCTGTTCTCCGTAAAGAGATTCGGCTCCCGTGCACCACGCGCGTAAATAGCCTCACACAGGAACCACAGCTCTTTGGGCAACTGTGGGCGCATCACCTTGCTTAGCTTCTCCAGATCCCCGCTGGTTGCATAGGCGGTGACGCACACCTCATTGCCTAGTAGCGCAATGTTCTCCAGCGAGTTGCCGAAGACACTCGGCTTGAGCGTGCAAGTGCACTCAACGAGGTGCACCGGCCCTTGATACACGAACACTACCAGCATCGACGAGAGGCTTAGCCGGCCGCGCGCCTCAAACGGGCGCCAGAGGCTCATCCAACGCATGCAGCGTGGGTTCAGCTGGCACTCCACCACCACCTCTTTTGTCTCACCGGGGAGGATGGAGAAGTTGGCGGGGAACACACGCAGCCACGCGCCCTCGCTCACATCATTGTTGCACTGCCGGAACGTCCGCACAAGCGCCACACACTCCCCCGCGTTGGTGATGTTCAGCACTTGCCGCGCCCCGCAATCATAGAACTGCTGCGCCCCAAAGTCGAGAGAGACAGGTTCAATAGTGGTCTTGGCACTTGCAGTGCGGTCAAGGCCCGCCTGCTCGATGCGTTTTCGCAGGGACTGTCTGACAGCTTTCTTTTTATCCTCCACCTCGCAGAGTATGGGGAGACGCAGCAACGCCTGTACCGGCTTGTGATCGCTACTGCAGACATCCATCAACGCCTGCAGGCGCTCAACGTGAATTAGCTGCTGATGGGCCTTTCGCTTTGTCCATATGACGATGCGGTCTGTGTAGCTTGGCACACGCTGTTTCTCGCTGGTGTCGTAGATGCCCGTCCCAACATCAAACCGATACGTCGGTGGGAATGTAGGCGTGAGGTCGACAAAACCCAACCACGGCGAGTGCGGATTTGACAGCTCCGCCATAAACTCATCGTGCTCCAGCAGACGCGCTGTGTCGCAGCGTAAGGCCAATTCCACGGCGGCATCGTAACCGAGCTTAATTCGGTAATTGAGATCCCCAGAGACGACGATGATGTCGTGGTCGTGCGGAAGCAACTCAGGGTGCTGGTACAAAACCTCGGATGGAACGGATCCGCCTTGCAGATTGGTGATCAGCATCTGCCGCTTCTGTGCATTGAAATCCATGCCCATGAATATGTTACTCGCATCATCGTTGCGCTTCACCAGATTATTCTGCCCAGCAGCAAGATGAACATTGATTAGGCATATACTTGTGCGATGCAACACCAGATGAAGGCCGACGGCGCCCTTGTTGCCCATACTACCCAGCGCCCCAGTCGCCACTGTCATGACAGACATCTCCTGCACATATGGAAGTAATGGTCGTCGCAAGTATACACACAATAGCAGGCCAACGAGCTGCTTGGGCGGAAAGGCATAGTACGGCAAATTGCTTACGCGCTGAGAATCTGCACCCACCGCGGCGTGGAGCCCAGTAATCCACGGTGTGGCAGCCTCTGTCTCTTCCTTAAGCATGGCAGACGCACTCATGTCGACCTCCTGAAGACTTACCATGATAAGGTCGACTTCCCTGTTACTGGTACTACTACCACTACTACTGTCATTATTGCCTTTAGGCATGGCAAGGGACACGAACGATGCAAGGTTTGACGGCGGTTTCTTGCAAGCCACGTTGAACGTGACAAGGCATACTGTGAGATCCTTCTGCTCTGTGTAGAGCTCTTCATAGTACTGCAACTCCCGCTGCACCCATGCTTCCTCTGGCGTGAAGACGGCGCCGTCCGAACCCACAGCGGAGTTCCTTATGTAGGAAAAGACATCTTCCATGCGATTACATTCTACATCAAATGCCGCTGGAAGCCCAGGGATCATCGCGGATACAAAAAGCAATGCAGTGGCGAGAACCTTGACTATTCTTTTTTTTCTTTTGTATTGTTCTTTCCTTCAATGAGCTCCACACCGAAGCCCAACCTTCCCTCCAACTCCTCAAAAGAAAGCATCCACCGATAATGAGAATGAACGAGAAGATCAGTGAGCGGGAACGGGAATGAACGCTATTGTGACGGGGCACCATCCTTGCCCTCCCCCGCCCCTGCCACTGCGGTTCCCCAGGCACTAACCAGCGCCGCAGCCATGGTTGAAGCACAAGCAGTGACACCAGTCACCAAATCACAGAGCGAAACAACAGCCCAAGCGAATATATATATATATATATTAATACTCCCAACCTCAAACATACACCCGGGCACCACCCACCCCCCGCACCAACCTGTTGTAGCTCACAGCTGCTGCTCACCGACTACCCCGGCGGCTGAGCATTCCCATGCATCGTCTGCGACTCCTACTGCTGCTGTAGGAACAGTGTCGCGGATAATCTGACCAAATGCACTTCCCCAACGGCAGCAGTTACGTTTTTGTCAACATCTCTGGGTAGATGATGTCCTCATGCGTGCAGAGCGTGCTCCCATAGCCACGGACATCGCCTTTGGATCGCCAGCCCTCGTTCGTCCCTGCGTGGAGGTAATGCGGGACACACAGCACTGCTGCTCCACTCGCGCCTCTAGGAGAAAAGGGCCCCAGCACCTTTACCACCAACGTGATCCATGCGGACACAACAAAGCACCAAAAAAAAAACGCCCGAAAAAGGCATCAAAGGACGCCTCGGCAGCCCGTCAATTGCGGCTGCACGGCGCACCCCATGCCTCCACTGATGCCCCTCCTCTTGCCGCTGAAAGACCTTTGACAAGAAAGGTACAACGAAAGAGAGAGAGAGAGAGAGAGAGAGAAAGGGAACAAAGAGGCATGCAACACAGAGAAAAGGAAGAATAGGCGAAGAATAAACAAACAGCGCACATGCGAACACAAATGGAGCCACACAGTTAACGCCTCACACCGCCGGTATACCAAGCGGAGTAATTCATTTGTCCAGGTCCGTGATGCTGAGGCATATGGTATGAAAATACAAACAGAAAAAAGAAAAGAAACGTCAAAAAATTACACAGAGTTAATCTCGGTGCACAGTAGATGCAGAGCTAGCCCTACTCCCCTGAGAGGGACAATACTTCTCAGAGCGCCCCCGTCGAAGGACACAGGTAAAGAGGGTATGAGTGCGAAGGAAAAGGGAGAAAGTGAGGAAGGAGGTCGGCGCCTCCCCCAAGGCGCACCCACGCCCCTCGTCCGCTACACGCACTCTGCACCTTGCACTGAAGCACGCAAAAAACATGCACTTACCGCCAACAGCTACCGCGCTGAAGGCATAGAACGAAAGATAACAAAAGAAAAAAAACGAGAGTCGGGAGTTCATTTCAAATTAAGCGTTTTTCAGGGGCACACACTAAAAAAAAAAAACCACAAAATCGTTTTGTTTTAAAACATTATGAGCGTGGTTCCCTCTCTGCGAAACCGAGCATCCGTAAGAGTCTCGGGTGGAGAAAAAGGAAGCCAGAAGCCAAGCATAGAGAATATATATCTGCATCAAGCACTGGGTATGGATACATTGTCTTGTTTTTTTTTCTTTTTAACTGGAAAAAAAAAAAAAACAACAACTGTATATGGTGATGGAACCTTTTTGTTTTTTTTGGTTTGGTGTCCACCTCCGTTTCCAGTGTATTTGGCCTGCGCTTTCCCCATCCGTTTTGAGATACCTCACCAAGCCTCTTTTGTCGTACCCCCAACTCCCCTTGTGCTTGCAGTGACATTCTATTGCTTCCGCCCATGTTCGTCTTCATTTAACCAAATTTTCCTTTGCACCTTTCTTCCTTTTTTTTGTTGTTATTATTGCCTCACCCCCCTCTTACACATCATACTAAACAAAGTAGCATCAAGGCACGTTGGCCGGAGAGGGCGTGCCGCACCAACGCTTACTGGTCTGTGCGCACGGACTGGATCATGATGCTCAGCGCCGTACCGAGCGCGCCACCAACAAGGATGGAAATTCCAAGCATCGTCCCCGCCACGAACCGCTGCCCACTTGTTGTGATTCCCTCTGTCAGTGGGCCCAGCACAAGCGTCAGCGCGCCAATGTAGCCGTTTGACAGACCAAAGAGGACCATCATCACGTAGCCGAAGGCGTGCCCTGGGATGTAGTGGTACGATGCCAGCAGGAGCAGTGGCAGGAAAATTACACGGCCAAAGGAGCTGGCAATCACCGCCCAGCGTGGGGGCCACATGAACTCAAAGCTGGGGGCAAATCGGCCAAACACGTCAGTAACGTTGAAGATGAAGACAGCAATAGTGCCGTACCAGTAGTCGTCGGGGTCCACAGAAACGACCACCGTCGGGAACAGCATGAGAGTGATGAAGAAGTTGAAGGCACACGCAATGGTCATGGGGTACACAATCTTGAACACCCCAAAGACATCCGTCTTCGAAAGCATCTGCGACGGCTTAGCAACCTCTGACGCGGGCGGTGTCACCACCACCTGGCTCTGATCCCTCTCTCCCTCTGTCACCTCTTCTGCGTTGGGCTCCGTCGCTCCTGTGTGTGGGTTCTCGGCATCCCTGGTATCGTCCACGTCCACAGCGTCGTCGGACTCCCTCGTATCATCCTTCTTCCCGCTAAGGCTTCCGGTGAACTGGCACGCGTACGAGTTCCAGTTCAGCAGGACCAACATGATAAAGGTGACGCCCTGGATGCCCACCATCAGACCATAGAAGATCTTCGACTGTGTGCGGGTGCCCTCGTAGTCCTCATCAAGCGCCCCCTTCACCGTAATCTGCAGGAGGGACGTCAAGGCACCGGCCACACCAGCACCACCCATCAGCGCAGCCATGTAGCGCGACGGGAACGCGCTGAACAGGCCGTATGCCGTCGACTCGAAGATGGACTTACCAGATCCCGAAATGGCGCCAGCAACAACAAGCGTGGTGATGGCACCGATTTCCGTTGAGCCCACCGCCGGCACCACCATCAGAAGGATGATCTCCACCCAGAGGAAACCCAGAGCAGACAACATACGCACCTGCAGCGGAATCTGGCGGAACTTCGGGGTAAGTGTCAACGGCTCCACAACTAGAGAGACGACGAGGCACACAAGAATGTAGTACGTCATTGAGTTGTCCCAGAAGTTGGTGTACTCTGGGGTTGCCGTTGAGTCTTGCATCACGTACTCATAGTAGTGCATAATGTACAGTGGCGCAGAGAAGACAGCGTTCACGGGCAGCAGCATGGAGATACCGCACATGATGGCGGTGAGGTACGTAAGCACCTCCTCCACCGATCCAAATCCAAAAAGGGCCATTTTAATTCTTGCCTTAAAGCTTTATTGCTTACTACAGCAGAGAAAAAGCAAAGAACAACCCCCCCCC